AAACCTAATGTCCCAGAGCTTAATCTATACTAACAGCTTAATACACACACACACACACACACACACACACACACACACACACACACACACACACACACACACACACGGAGGCTAGAACATTTTTTCTGTAGCAATAGGTATNTTTAAGGTTTATTTTTGGATTTAGTGTCTCTACTGTGACATGTCTCCATGCTTTAATGTTCAAAAAGCGCTTTATTGTTCTCATACTGCCTGTGCTGCAGCACCTCTTTTCACCTTCTGTCTGAATCCAGAGCCAAGTCTGCTCTGATTGGTTAGCTGGCTTGCTCTGTTGTGATTGGTCAACAGCTTAGAGATATCTTTTACAGTGTGTTGGAGTGCTAGCCAATAGAAGCTCAAGTGGTACATTGTGATGTAATTATGTTACAGACGTAAACAAAGGAGGCATTTCAGAAAGGGGGGACGGGTGTGTGTGGGAGAGTGTAACGACGAGACGCCGTTACTAGAGCTCTCGTGAACATGTTTATATAATTTATTGATGTAGTATTTATTTAATGGTATAAGTGTTCACCCCCATCTTGTCTGTTGCTTCCGGTCGTCTCTGTGTTCCCTCCTACTGATTACCCAATTGTGTTCACCTGGTGCCCTGTGTTGTCTCCTCCCCCCTCACCTGTGTCTTGTTAGTGTGTGTATTTAGGTGCTGTTTCTTGGAACCTGGTAGTGGTAGTGTGTGTGAGATCCTGGTGGCTGCAGGCTGGGCTCGCGTGAACAGCAGCAGGATTGAGGCTGTGTGAACTTTGTGCACATTGTTTTTAATAAATGCCCACGTCGGGTTATATTTTTGGACGTTCTGCCTCTGCCTCCTTGCTTGGTCGGGCCGCTCAACGGTCAGTCTCACAGAGAGAAACTCCCTCTGGAGGGAACTTTGGGGTTTTAGCCTTTGCAGACAATTTACATGGACAAGAACCCATATAACACTACAGGGAAGGGAAAACCCCCAAAAGCACAAAAGGGCCCCTTTGACAGAGATCCATGTCAGAATGTGTGCATGTGTGTACCATCTGTGTGCACTCCGACTATGAGGTAGTCTCCCATGGCTTTGGCCTGCCGCAGCTGGTTGGAGTGACCGTAGTGAACCATGTCATAACTGTGGAGACAGACAGAAGAGAACACAATGTCACAGATAACAAAACACGCTGTCTGCGCTCAAAGAGCAGAGGGACAAACTGAATCCAAACTAACAGATAAACACATACAACAATAAGGGACGTGGCCTTAACCATGAACAGCCCCCAGCTACAGCTTTCTCCAGCACCATTGTCTTTTACATTGGCACGAGGGCTTTGAATGGCCTACTCTTCTGGCTCTGTCTTTTAACTTGATCTTATCTGTATTTGAATCTAGATTCACGGTGGACTTGCACAGTAGAGGAAAGTGTGCGTGTGGCCTTTGCTCTGAAAACATTCTCTAGTTTATCTTTGAGAAAGCCAATGATTGGAGACGCTTCGTACAGTGTGCCAATAAGAGTCATATTCCTAGATGATTAGGATGTTGCTCAGCTCTTTTAATGTTTCTTTAGGTTTAGATGAACATGTGGTTCAGTGGAGCACCCTGCAGCTCGACATTCCTACATTTTCAAAACACTTATTTCACAATACTGCCAAGTTCAATAACAAACTCCTGTGGGTAGACCTCTCCTCTATGATGTTATTAGCACAAGCTGTTAGTCTGAACACACTTAAGGATAATCCCCTTACTTCCCACACCTCACCTAGTCAGGATCTTAGACACTATCTCCTCGCTGTAGATAGACTTTAGAGGCATGTATATGCATAACACGGCTAGCTGTTTTCAACATCTGTGAGTGACAGCTTTAGTGAGAGACAAAGTGAATAAATAAAGGTGAAGCCTACTTTTCCAGGTGTACTCTGTGATTAATGGGCCGAATATGTTTTATAGCTGCCAAAAAAAAGTAATCTGTCAAATGTAACTAGAGTGAGTCAGACCAACAACCATGTCCACATACTGCATATTTGTAACATGGTAATTAGTTATCAAAACAATAACCTACAATGTATTCTTGACCCACCTTTCTGTCAATACTGTATAGTGAAAACAGTTGTTATTATGTTATTAGACTGATCCTCTTGGCTCAGTTAAAGTATTTTTATAATTAATATTTAGCAGCTGCTCTTTTTGACAGTATGTCTCTGTGGTTGTCCTGAAACCAATAACTATTCCGGTCTGCAGGGTTTTTATATATTTTTTTGACAATTAAATTAAACTGCTGGAAAATGAATTGCCTAAACACAAGCCCTTTGAATCCCCCAGGAAGAGGGAACCCCTATCTACCACAACAACATGGCACTTTAGCGTCACACTGGACAACATGTTCACTATGCTAGTTATTTATAACCTCCACATGAGATAGGCCGTGTTATAGGCCACTTCTTTGAGCAGGGAGTGAGTCCAGGAGAGGATTTATGTGTTGCGCATTTGGATTCCGTTGTCTCCTTGGCTGCAGTTTCATCACGTGAGGATCATGGTTGGTGAGCGAGAGTTTAAAATAACAATACATCATTTACTCACTGCAGGGCTCTAAGGTCCACAAGTCTATTACACCTATATTAAACTATAACAGCTAGGTGTATTCATAAGTGGACTCCTGCACTGTGTTTCTTTCATGGCCTGTTTACTTTAGGTGCAGAAGCTCTCCTCTTTATTTTAGAAGTGCGTGCACACTCCTGACTTAAGCAATGACAATAACCAGATATTGATGTCTGACTCATTATTTGAGTGTCACAACCAACCTACTCACGGAAAACAAAATAAATGCCCTTGAGTCATCTCCATTCTGCACCTATTTGTAGGTTATTACCCAGCATCAAAAGGCATCAAACATTCATCCCTGCCAAGACTCTTTTTTAGGCAACCTTGGAGGTGTAAACAGCAGGATTTCATGCAGAATATGAGACGAGAGGGTATGACTGCTTTATATACATTTTTCTCTGGGTCAGCTGTAAGTCATTGTGGTGGGTTTAAGACTAGTATGCAACATAACACGCCATAGGTTTTTAACATTAGGTCATTTCTAACCTTTAAATAACCTTTAGTGTCCATTTCGTCTGGGTTTAGTTTCACACATTTCAGAATGTGTTTATAAGCTCAGCCTTACTATGAGGCAGTGGACTGAGAGGACCTCGCCCATAACGGTGCCATAGGAACTGCTAACCGATGCTAACAGCTGGTGTATTAACATGTAGCAAAACATGTGATGCCTGATGTATTGTTTTAGGTTGTGCTGCTATTAAAAGATACAAAGTATACGTTTTAATAAAAAAATACAATTGTAAGATAAAGTCACATTTGACTTGATTAGCTAGATATGTATGAATGATGAACAAGGTAAACTTCCTGTTGCTACGTAACGATCTGCTAATGTATGTATCGTTAGCTAGCTAGCATTAGCCTGCCAAGCCACCACTGTGTTGCAAAATAACTGCGAAAAGCACTTCAAACTGCGGGACAGAGTTAAATAAAGCAACACCGACATGATGTCAGCGGCGGGCACCGGGACTCACCAGCCGTCACACCATAACCGGACGACGCGCTTCCTTTTCTCCGGGCTGCACGCAGAGCCACCCGGTGTACCGCAAACTGAGTCCTCTTCCCGCTGCTCCTCCGCGGCGTGGTGCCCGTTCTTCATCATTTTGATAACTTCAAATAACGTAGTGGTATTACGAATAAAAACAAAAGAAAGGTTAAGTTTCAAAGTAGTTCACTCCGGTTACTCTGAAGGATTCTTTCAGAGGACGGTGTTCTTCTTCTGCGGAGCACACATTGACACCGACCAACGCCTCCAAAACGACATCATCGGTACGTCACGTCGGACGGAGCCACTCGAGCTGAGGTGCTGATTGCATAATCCCTCCTATCACGTGATCAGCTACAACCTATAAACAAAGTGCTACCAGCAGAGGAATGTGACTAAGTACTCAGCCACTGTACTTTTCCACAAGTGTTGCTTTCATTTGCTCCGAAAGGAAAACGAGTTATGGTTATCTTTTAAAATCCACATCCTACAAACAAAACACACAATTGTTTTAAGACATGTTGACCTGTTAATATATTTTTTAAAAAGGACTCAGTCAATTGCTCTGCAAGAGGAATTTCGAGTGCATTTGGCTGATAATACTCAAAAGTGTTGGTTAAATCATTTCTGTTGAGAGCTGGGGAATCTTGAACACATAATTTAATTGGTGATAGAGTATTATAAAGAGAGGGGGTCCTGCTTCTTCAACTGTTTCATACTTCTTCCACCACTTACACATTACAGTCAGTCACCCTTAACACAAAGGCATAATATTTTCATTTGACAGTGTATTATGATGAACAGATTTAGATAAGAGTTAGGTTAGTGTTTTCCATTTAAGGGATAAACAGAAAATGTTTTATTAAATAAGTTAAACAAAAGTTAATACAAAAAACACACAGTCAAAATCATCAACTTGCACAAATAAGATAATAAAGGTCAAGGTTAAGCTACAGTACTGCCAATTCAGATCTAAAGACCAAGTGTAGATATCAATTAATTAATCATTATCAATTGTGTTAAGGCCAGTCTTTAATAACCTCTGACACTAAACTGTACAGGATGACATAATTACTACTGGATCTCCCTGAGACAAATTAAAAGATAATGATAAATATTTGGATGTTTACAATGACTCAAGTTAACAAAAACTTGACATGATACAAACTAACAGGTAATCAAAAGGTATACATTTAACAAAAAGCTAACATTTTTGTTAAAGTGTCTGCATAAAAATGTAAACATAGGCAATTTCTACATCTTCCACCGGGTGCAGTAGTAGCTGCAAACCTGAGGATGAATGACAACAGAATGAGAGGTGACTGTTAGAACAGGAAATAGTTTAAGTTAACAAAAATACCTTTAAAACAATAGAAAACAAACTCATTACAAAAAGTAAATTCAACAATGCACACTTTAAACATCTGAAAAATACTAGAAAAAATATATTTTACTCAAGTGATACATGTAGAAAACCTTATAAATCTCTTCTCAGTAAAAGCTGTTGCAGCACCGCAATCAATAATTGGCCATTTGAACGCTACTGATGTTGTATTGGCATTTCCCACTTATAAACACTGAAAGGTACCTTTATGATTTACGTCTAGCTTGTGCTCAAACCAAACAACTTGGTAAACACATATTACAGTAAGGTTGATGAATGATACTGCACAAAAAACATGTTAAGAGGATAATTCGCCACCAGTTTAGGGAAATAATCGAATTGCGACAGATATTGCGATTGGATTTGCGATATTTGTTTTTAAGCGACCAAACGGAAGTTTATTGTAAAATGCGGCCATATCTCCGGCTAGGAAGGTCGTATCAACGTGCTCCCCTCTCTAGCACCCCCCGCAGCCGAGTGAAAGAACTAAGCTTACATGAAACCTCCGTTGGGTTGCTTTAAAGTCAAGCTTCAGTTTAAGATTTACCCTGTAATAGATCTAAAACATGTGATGGAACATTACTAACCTGACTCAGATGGTTTGTTTCACCAAACCATCTAGGAAAGCTCAATTGGAAGCCATTTGGAAAAGTATTACAAAAATACTTGGCAGGTGATTGGATCAATCACCTACTATCATGGGCCACTTCTGATTGGTTAACAATGACTGGTACATGTGGAGCACAGCACTTCTGATTGGTGTGGATGACTGACACACGAAGAACAACATTTGTTTGTTTTTTTTAAATTTAAAAAAATCGCTGGCTTTGCAATTTCATAATCGCATCATTTAAAATCTCGATTTCGATTTAAAATCGATTAATCGTTCAGCCCTACAGCAGTTGGCTTCAAAGGATGTAAAAACATTATGTCATTAAAGTTTTTGTGACATACTCGTACACATAACAATTCCTAATGCTGCAGTAGTGGTTTCAAAACTCTCTTTGGACATTTTGATATATTTTCATTAAAATCTCACAACTGTCACACTTGTTGCATTGCACTCCAAATGGCCAAAATACCAAATCTACATTATCTTGCATAAACTCAAGCTACTTTTACTCAGTATTTGGTATAAAATAATAAATGTATGGTGCAAAGTGCCATTTTCGAATGACAAATACTCAATCTTCAGTTTCCCTTGACACACACACACCACCTGTGGCAAGAAACCAACTCAGGACCAAATAGCACCCTAAACCAACTTCTCCTCAGTATGGGTAAGAAACGTAATCCCTCTTTGGGATTGATCACTTGGCATACTTCACTACATCGTAGTCTGCTTGATCATGCAGCTTTTTTCTTCTTTTTCTTCCTTCCCTTGCCATAGCCTCGACCGAACCAGCCGCCCTGCACAGCTGTGGCTTCTTCTGCCTGCTCTCCAGAGTCAGGTACGCAGTCCTCCTGCACATCAAGATGAGCGATGACCTCACGAGTATGGCTGTCCACCTCCTCCTGCCGCAGAGGTACAGCTAGACTGAAGACGGGGTCCTTCGCCCTGATGAGACAACATGAGAAAAACCAAGTTTGGGTTAAAAAGTTGGACTTATCTTTCTATTTCTGTGTATATAGTGGAAATATTCAAAAATGTAAGTATGGTAAAGCCTGAATAATGCATTTCAAATTAGTCAAACCCTTTGAAGAACCTTACCTGTCGTACCCTGGCACCTGGATGTTCAGTTCCTCCATCAGGAGCCTCATGACATCATCACACTTGCCATTAATTTTCAGTGCAGCCAGATCATCTTTTGGTGTCCACTGGGTCAAAAAGCAGAGCCACATAATAAGTATCAGAGAAGCCAGATGTTAATTTACATCCTTATGACCTGAAATGTAAAAACGAAATTGTACCTGGAGGTTGACAATGTATAGTTTTGGCCTTTTGCTTGCTGGTTTGTTCATGCACCACAGACAAGCGTATTTCTTCAGCACCTTGAAGAGCAAGAAACAGGGTGCCACAGAATGAAGGACGACTAAGAAATAGCAACGAAACAACTTTTTCAGATCACCAAATGCAAACTTGTTTATTGAACCTTACCTTCAGACTGGTGCCTAAGCAGAGGATAACATTGGCCGTCTCTGCAGCCTCTGCCGCTCCCTTCCAGTTGAGAGGCTGCTCCAGGGTTCCTCGCTCCCCAAAATGCACTATGGTGTCCCTGAGTTCACTTCCACAGTGGCTGCACCTGCGGCCTGTCATGTGGTGGTGCAGCGATGTTCGCTCCGTCACGTCAAATAAACGCACGTACTCCTTGACCGGGCTACAGGATGTACACACCTAGGTCCAACAGAGGATCAGAAATGGATTAATAATAATTCATTACATTTGTATTAAAGCGCTTTTCAAGACACTCAAAGCGCTTTACAATTACACATATTAGACATGTAACAGTTATTAATGTGAACAATAGAACAATACCCACAGGAGCAAATTAGGGTGAAGTGTCTTGCTCAAGGACACAACGGCCTGGCGCAGTGGCGGGTTTCAAACTGGTTTTCCTCAACGCCCCTTGATCTGATGATCAACACTCTAGCCCACTGCGCCAAAACCGCCCTATTAGACTTTATAAGGCTTGGTCTTTTTAAGTTTTGTTAGCTTTTGGAGGCAGCGCTGCAAATTCTGTTCAAAAATATCTGGACCATGTCTTTTCAGGCAGCGGGAATGTTGCATTTAGAACTGATTAGAAAAAAAAGAGGCTCTGTGTGTAAGTCAGACTAAAAAAAGGAATACTCATAATGAGTGGGTCTCACCTCAATAAACATGTTTCCATGAAGCTCAGACAGGGCATGTCTGGGTAGCCCGCTACGCAAGTGAAGCCCGTCACAGTTTTGAGAAACAACATGCTGTAACTAAAGAAAACACTGTAAATACCAAGCATGCATAAAAAAATGATTTGTGAAATAAGTTGTTTATCTGAGTCTAACATACCAGCTTTTCCTTATGTAGCGTCCTAACGCACATGTGTGTGAGGGTCGGCTCAGCTTTACTCAGGTCAGACGAACTGTAAGAGAAACAAAAACAATAAATTAGTCCAATTGACCTCAAAAAATATATACAGCTAACAGCATATCAGTGTACACTGATATGCTACATATCTCACCTGATTGACCGTCCTTTCTGCAGCAGTGTCCACACTCCATTAGGCCCCCTGTAGTCTGGGATAGAAGCTGCCTGAAAGAAAATACATTGTCAGTGCCGGATAAGTTTCAAAAGGATAAAGTCAACTAAAAGATGCTGAGATTAGCATACCGTACTGATGCCGGCTCCAGTGTATACCACCAGGTGCTTTGCTTGCTTCACTGCCGCAGCGAGCTGTCTCACTTTACTCCTCAGCTCATCAGCCTCATCAAACACCTGCACGTAGTGCAGTAAAACAAGATATTTTAGGATAACAACCACAAACATCTGTTAAATCAAGCATTCTTTCGCGCAGATACTTGGATAAAGACGTGTGCCCTTTATTGTCTTTGCTCATACCAAACCCAAATACATATGGAATCAAAAATGACATTATTTATTTGCAAGATCCAACTTCCCAAGACTCCTATTAGTCCTAAAACAGGATTGATATGCATTGAAAAGGCGGGCCCTGTATATCATTTTCCTTAAATACCATGCATTCGAGGGAACCCTTTGTTATCCTTTATCCAGTTTATTATTGTGTAAATAAATGGGTTCGTTAATCATTTTGGTTTTGTGGGGAAAACCTGGGGACCCACAGTTTTCTTTTTTTATTAACTAGACCTGGGAAACCCATTTTGTCAAGGTAAACCAGTCTTGGTTCCTTCACTGATTATAACCCATTACCTACAGGTAACATATCACCTAGCCAGTTAGCTTGAAAGCAAACACTTGCTGGGCCTGGCAGTCTCACCTCCTCCTGCTTCCTCTTCAGCACATTTCTGCGGACTTGTCTCTTGCAGAGCTCCTCTACAGTTCCTCTGTGTAGCAGTAACACAGCAGCCTCCTCCTCGGACCGCTCACTCTCAGGTTTCTTCAGGACTTTTCCCACCTTCAGGCAACAGAAAGACAGAGAAACCTGGTCAGACTCACACCAACTGCATGCAAAGAGATAATAAACGCTGCTTTAGCCATCTAGTTCGGTACAGCCTGCTGCAGGAAAAGGCTCTAAATGTTTCTTACCAGTCTGAAAATCTTCCTTTCGGTTTCTCTTTGAAGTATTTTTGCCTTTTGCAAAGCCTTCCTCTCGACCCGCGAGGGAACACCGGTGTCTGCCTCCTCTTCCATCCCGTTTTAAATCAGCTGAGCGGTGGCTATCTATTCAAAACACAGCACACAGCGACCACATACCAGATGGTCGGATGTTCTCCGTTTAGAGGGGGGCAAACTGCCAGCAGCGCCCTCTGCTGCCCGGGGGCTGTATTGGGGTCTGCTTGGGGTACACCCAAGCCTTTTACAGTCTATGGCCCAAGTACTATTTTTGAAAAGCAACAATTCCACATTTGTTCTAACTGTTTTTAAGTCTTAAAATATGGTACAGGGTATTATTTGGCCAGTAATCTTACAGAATACATAACATTTTGTAAATCAAATTAAACACCCCATTTAGTCCACAATCAGGATTTTTGTTGTTGGGGGCGGGGTGAGTCTTTCTTACACTACATAAAGTACGTGTGCATAATTTTGATATTTAACTTGTGGTGAGTTCGTAGATACTAAGTGCTTGATTGTGCTCAATTTCTGTGATATAGCAATGTTCTTATTTTATTTCATTTAATCGTTTATTTGAACCGGGACATTGATGAACACTTTAAACAAAAATAATGCTTTCAAATGTAAATGAGCTGGATTTTAGCTTTGAGCTCATTTCCGTAGTCCCGTCACATACAACATTTATGAACATGACACTTATATATATGGCAACAATAAATACATGATATGCAGAAAGAGCATGAGCAGCATACAAGCATTTACCACACGGCAACAATGTAGCAGCTATGATATATAAAGTGCAAAAGGAGATACCCCTGTGTTAAAGTGTATTTAGCGGTGATTACACGTCTGTTTGTGTCTCAACCATTCTTTAAATTGACCTTTAAAACTATTGAGAGTGGGACAATCCCGTATCTCAGTTGGGAGGCTATTCCACAATGAGCTGCCTTTTTAATGGAAAGTACATTTTGTCCAAAAGTGGTCCTTCTGCGGTGGACCGTCTCCTCTGGTTTCTGACCTAGTGCAACGTCCAGTGTGTTTTCTGTGGATGAGTCCATGTAAACACTTATAAATAAAACACATACTTTTAAAAGACTTTAAATGGTCAAAACTCAAGAAATTGTGTTTTTCAAGGATGGTACAGTGGTGGTATGAATTTGGCTTTCTGTCAAACACCTTGATAGCCCTCTTGTACAGCTGTTCTATGGGTTTCAGGTTTGTGGCACAAGCAAACGACCAGTTTGCAAAACAGTATTCAATGTGGGATAGAATCATACAGTGGAGGTATGACTTTGCAGCACTGACAGTTTATACTACAGTATATTTGGTATGTGGGGACATGTTATATATAAAAAAACATTAGTACCATGTTACCAAAGAAGTAGTAAGAGGAGAAAAACTCACTGAACATTTATTTAGATTTGTGCTTATGCAAGCCTTTTGAATAAACACAAACTTCAGAGCAACTTTTTAGTGGTAAGAAACATTTATTACTAAACAATTACAAATAAATAACATATAAAACAGGTCCAACAGGTCTCTAAGGAGACAAAAGGATGATGCAAAGGTTTACAAAGTTATTTTGGCAGACGTAATCCCAATAAACTAGGGGAAATATTTAAGGCAACACATGGGAGTAACTCACTATTCAAGTAGTAACAGTAGAAAGCAGTAACACCAAGCTCTGGAGATGCATATTAGCATTGTGAGCACACTGTCCTATACATTTTTTTTCACATCACACAAAGAGGGTTTGATATGGGGAGATTGTCTGTTTTTGGTAAACTAGGCACAAACATTTGAGGGGAATAAATAATTCAATTTTCAAATCCACCCTTCAAAGCAGAGAACCATTGGAAAACTGGAAAAGCACTGCAAACACAGCTGAGTTAGAACCTGATTAAAAGCCCCTTTTTCATACGAGATATTTTGATGTGTAATGAGTAACTTTAGTCTTGGCTGCATTCCAGTTAGGAGCTTTAGTTCCTGAATCCTGGTGTGGTGTTTGCTCGCTCAGGGCTATTGCATTCTTCTTTTCTACTTATAGCCAATTAGTGATCCTTCCTATTTCTTTGTGTAGCTTCAGAAGCAGTAGCAGGTCAGATCCTCCAGTAATTCACAAAGAAGTCTAAAAACAAACTGTCATTTGTGTACTGCATATACTGAATATATTGTTGCTGCGGGCCCCAGGTCTGAAACCAATGGCTTACAGAAATATCTATCTGTTAATGTTATTCATTACACCTGCAATCTTACTGCTAGGACATTACATAATGTCTGCAGCAAATCATAAACAGCATCTTTCTGGTCAGCGCTTTTCTGCTTAAGGTTGGGAAGTGTTTTTTTTTTTTGCCAACTCAACACTTGTCCCACTTACATGTGCAGCTTTAGTACACTTATATTGGAGAGAAGAACTGGAAGCAGACCTGATGAAGAGTTTGTGTTACTGACAGAGCAGCTGATGTTTAACCCAAACTGAAGTCAGACTATTTCGTAGTGGAAGGCTGTCAGCACTGTATTATACCCTGGTTTTGAAGTGGATGAAATGTCACATCACAGATAAGAAAAATCAGTAATATATTCCTCAGAAACAGGCATCGCTTTGACACCTCTCAAATTGTTAGATTTACAATATTTATGTAATCGCTAGAGGCCTTATTAGGAGTCCACACTGGGGCCAATTAAGAGGTGTCACCGGGGTCTGGAGGAGCGAGTGCTCTTGGGGACCCTCTGAGGGTTGGCTCTGAACTGTCCTCGTCTGGTCTCCGGCGGCTGCTCAGCAGAGAGCCCACTACCGTGTCCACTCATCGTCACCACTCCCTTTTGTCTTTCTGCTGCCTTTTTGTGGATCCTGCAGGAAAAAGAGATGCCTCTGCTTGTTAAAAAAAAAGCCTGTAGTGCAAAAAATTCAATTCGTTACAAATGTTTAAGCTGAGAAGTGCTACTTCAGCTGGCTGCAACATTACTGGGAACTTTGAAACTTGAGTGATTGCATAAACAAATCCACTAAAGTCTAGATGTTGAATGCCTTCAGTAGGTTGACTTGTTTTAATCAGATGCAGCAACTAATGTTCAGAGTTGCCTGATGCACAAAGGTTCCTTTATCCCGTGTGACCAGGCCCGGACTGGCCATCGGGAGGACCGGGAGGTTTCCCGATGGCCTGGCCTGTTAAGTGGCCTGCTGGCCTGAGGATTTTTTTTTTATACGTATGTATTGTGAACGCAACGCTGCGCAAATGTGGGTCTGACTCTGCCTCACAGAGGCTGACTGGCTGTCTACATGATGTGGCCTGCCGACATGGCCACTTTCATACAGATCATACTAATGCCCTCGATTGGTCTCGTGTCATTCAAGCTCGGGAGTGTACAGTGGGGCAAAAAAGTATTTAGTCAGCCACCAATTGTGCAAGTTCTCCCACTTAAAAAGATGAGAGAGGCCTGTCATTTTCATCCTAGGTATACCTAAACTATGAGAGACAAGATGAGAAAAAAAAATCCAGAAAATCACATTGTCTGATTTTTAAAGACTTTATTTGCAAATTTGGTCAATAAAAAAAGTTAATCTCAATACTTTGTTATATACCCTTTGTTGGCAATGACAGAGGTCAAACGTTTTCTATAAGTCTTCACAAGGTTTTCACACACTGTTGCTGGTATTTTGGCCCATTCCTCCATGCAGATCTCCTCTAGAGCAGTGATGTTTTGGGGCTGTCGCTGGGCAACACGGACTTTCAACTCCCTCCAAAGATTTTCTGAAAATCTTTGGAGGGAGTTGAAAGTCCGTGTTGCCCAGCGACAGCCCCAAAACATCACTGCTCTAGAGGAGATCTGCATGGAGGAATGGGCCAAAATANAGGCGTTGCAGACCTTCGCCAGGACTGTGGCCCGGAGCCCCTCTGTGGGGGTCGGTGTGAGGGGGGGAGGAGGAGGGGGAGGCATGGCGTCGTCAGTCATTGGCCCATTCATACCGGGGAAGATGGCAACAGCCACCAGCGTGATCACAATAGTAAAGTCAAAAACAGATGCACGGTCTTGAGGGAGGGAAAGATAGATGAGGGGGTGCAGTCATTCTTCTTATCTGCCGACCACCTGTCCTCCACCTGCACTGAAGTCAAACAGCTGGGCGCTCTCCATCACATCGCCTCAGCACCACCACCTGGCTCAGATCAGTGCAGCTGGAGGAAAGGGTGGAAGCAGTGGAAGATTGTTGAGACTCTAAAGATGCAAGTCTTTGGTCGACGCATGATCATTTAGCACAGGACAGATACACAGGGTTCCTACGGTCACTGAAAACCTGGAAAAGTCCAAGAATTCGAGATTAGGTTTACACCAGGCCACGGGGGAAACATTTAAGAATGTCAATGCCCAAAATACTTTGGAAAGATCATTCAAACCAAGATGTAGAACATTTGAATTCGCTACACTAGGCATGTCGTGATAACTACTTTATTTAAAATGTTCTTTAATATTCAAACATTGGAATTGGAAAGTGAACAACACTTAAATATCCTTAATAAATAAAAGAATGATTCAGATAGACTCTCAGGCTGTGTGTTGCACAATGCCGAAGTTCTTTTACGGGCGGGAACAAATATTGGCTAACATGTTGTTTACATTTGAATCTTAACAAACGTGCATGTAAACACAACAAAATTAAATCTAGGTCAGCAAAACAATCATGTCCTTATATCCTTGTTGGGTAACGTAATATCGTGACAGGCCTACGCCACCGAACAAAGATAATCAAACACACAACATTTGTATTAGAGCCAAAAAGATGGTGCTTATGTATTTCTGTTTGTTGGATTAGTTTGACACAAAAAATCTTGGGACCCTGAGTTCCAACAGAATACGCAAGATTACCCGTGACCTGCTGATTTCAGTCCCATCATGCTCCACCCTAGCCAAGAACTTTTTAAGAGAAGTACTAGAGAAAATATATATTACACAATGGTGGTAACTGTATTTCTACTGTTTTGTACCGTGTTGTCATTCACATGAGGTCCAAAGTGTATTCTCTGTGCGTCAATTGTTATATCAGGAATTCTGTGAAATTCTGTTGCGCGTGTTTGGTATTGCTATATTTAGTTAGCTGTATTTTTTTCTACGATCTCTTCACTTTCTATGTAGCTCTCTTTCTCTT